TGCATCAAACATTAAAAGCTTCCCTAAACAGGGCTGCCTTCAGATGTCTTCTAAAAGTCTGGTAGTTGTTGTTCTCTTTGACATCTGGTGGGAGGGAGTTCCACAGGGCGGGTGCCACCACCAAGAAGGCCCTCTGCCTGGTTCCCTGTAACTTGGCTTCTCGCAGGGAGGGAACCGCTAGGAGGCCCTCGGAGCTGGACCTCAGTGTCCGGGCTGAACGATGGGGGTGGAGACGCTCCTTCAGGTCTACTGGAACAACTGGAGAAGGCCTGGTGCAGGGGGCCAGGAGAGAACGAAATTCCATTCATGTTTCATTTAAGCCGAATCGATCAAATGTGCAGCACAGGCCTGAGCAATTTTTCACTTGTTCCATGCTTTCTAGGCATGGGTCTCAGCCGTTTTGTATTTGCCCTGCAGCTTTCCCCTAGAAAACACACTCTTTACAGCTGAATTGGAACAAACAGCAATCCTCGGAAAACCCAAATGACCTTTGCTCCAATTCAGTGTAAAGACTGGGAAAGTGTGCATAAAAATGAATGTATTGGTGAAAATAGCACACCAAAATGCATTAAGTTAGGGAAAGTTGCTTGCAAAGAATGTGTACATAAGTTAAAATTGTACATAAAATGTGTTTATTAGAAGAATTTGGTATTAGAAGAATGCTCATGAGTTTTCATGATTATTTTTTTTTAATAACAAAATGTGGAGAATGAATTTAGGACTGGAGCAATTAAAAACTGAGAGGACCAAAATTGACAGATTCTTCCATCCCTTGCCTGGACTGAAATGACTCAGGGTCAGATTAGAAGTGGCATTTTGACACACCATTTCCCCTTGTATGGTAGGTTTTGTTTTCTGTTTTTTAAGAAATAGGCACCAAGAGACCTTTTCTTCACATAGTGAATAGCTGGTGCTGAGCAGAGAGACTGTGGTAGAGACAAAGGTTTAAGCTTGCCCTCCCCAGGCCATGGTCCTTATCCTGCTCGATTTCCTAACTCCACCGTGTGACAGCTTTTGTTTTTTTTGAGGGCAAACTATAAGACATTTCACCCCCTGAGGCAAAGGGCAAGATGACAACTTCCCATGTACAAAAGTCAACTGAACTGGTAACTGCATCTTCCTTCCGTCTCTGATGGAATAGCACCTCCCACCCCATCTATAGCAGCCACTGACAGCTGGTTTAGGGTGGCCAGGACAGGGGACAGCAGAGGGGGCCAACCAGGGAAGAAAAGCCATGGGGCTCTTGCCCTGGATAACGGTCGGGACAGTCCTAACTATATGGCAGATGTAACATATTGTTTGGTCTTCAGGGGCATTCAAAATGACTCTGAATGGCCACTGGAAAACACAGATACAGTCATAACTCGGGTTAAAGACGCTTCGGGTTAAATCTTTTCAGGTTGTGTCCCGCGGCAATCCGGAAGTAACGGAATGGGTTTCTTCCGGGTTTTGCCGCTTGCGCATGCGCAGAAGCAGCAAATTGTGACCCGCAGACGTAGGTTGCGTTCTGCTCAGGTTGCGAACGGGGCTCCGGAACGGATCCTGTTCACAACCAGAGGTACCACTGTATGGCTTTATATTTGGCTCTAGGGTGGTCAGTTGAAAAGTGATTTGAATTTAGCCTCACAGGCTTGTTTTGAGTTGTGTGCATTTGCCCTCCCCTAGGCACCAGGTTCATGCTCTTCCTCAAAGGCCACTGTGTAGGCCTGTCTGAGTGTTCATTCAGTGCATCACCAGCTTCTCAGGGAAATCAGCTGAGCATACATTCACGTGACCTTGTGTGATTCCTCAAATTGCATTTTATTGTCCTTGCTTAGTCCGTATTGCGCAGACCAGGCAGACGTTTAAGAAGCAATATAAAAAGCAGCATCAGCACCTGATCTAAAAACACGGATCTGAAAATATTCCAGTTCAGGATCCAATTTTGCTCTATATCCTAATTGATTAAGAAAAATGAACAAGGAGTCTCCATTCTGCAGTTTCAAGTTGTGTTTCCAATATCCTAAATGCTACTGTGGAATTCCCTATAAAAGTCAGAGGCTGCTTATTAAATGGTACTCAATACGTACGATATTTATAACCCTCATCAAAACCAATAAAACATGTTGTTTATTGCCGTCAGTTTCCGGTATACAAGAGTTAAGAACTCCACACTGTAGCTACCAGTTTCACCTCCTTCTCTTCTCTGGGATGATGGAATTCACATTTGTTCATTAAGTCTTTAGCTTAAGCTTTTAGTTCTCATTCTCAGCTGAAACTCACCCTCAGGACCTGAATCTGCTCATATTCCTCCCTTCTATTCCGTCCCTTGTTGACTGAGCCCCACCTCCCAGCAGATTCGGAATAGGCTTCAATACAGCAATTTACAGTGGAATCTTGCACTTGTCTACTCAGAGCACCTTTGAGTTAACTGGGACTTACACCCAAGTTAATTGTGCCCAGGGCTGCAGTCCATTACTGTTTACTCAGACTCCAGTGTGCTCCCCCACTGGTGTTTGAAGCAGGGACGCGGGTGGCGCTGTGGGTTAAACCACAGAGCCTAGGACTTGCCGATCAGAAGGTCGGCGGTTCGAATCCCCTCAATGACGGGGTGAGCTCCCATTGCTCGGTCCCTGCTCCTGCCAACCTAGCAGTTCGAAAGCACGTCAAAGTGCAAGTAGATAAATAGGTACAGCTCTGGCGGGAAGGTAAACGGCGTTTCTGTGCACTCCTCTAGTTCGCCAGAAGCAGCTTAGTCATGCTGGCCACATGACCCAGAAGCTGTACGCCGGCTTCCTCAGCCAGTAAAGCAAGATGAGCGCCGCAACCCCAGAGTCGGCCACAACTGGACCTAATGGTCAGGGGTCCCTTTATGTTTACCTTTACACGTAACATTTGCCACAATCCGTGTCTGTCCTGTAGTTTCTTATGGAATACAGTCATACCTTGGGATAAATACACTTCAGGTTGAGCGCTTTCGGGTTGCGCTCCACAGCGACCTGGAAGTAACGGAGCGTGTTACTTCCGGGTATCACTGCTTGCGCATGCGCATATGGTAAAAATGACGTCACACGCATGCGCAGAAGGGACAAAACGCGACATGCGCAGATGTGCTGTCGCATCTTATGTCCCGTTTGGGATGCGAATGGAGCTCCAGAACGGATCCCGTTCGCATCCTGAGGTACCACTGCACTGCTGTTGGATTCTTTTCACCTCAGACCAGCTTTTATCTGAAATAACAAAACATAAGAAGCCACATTCATTTTGCAGTTAAGCTGAGGTGTGTACATTTGGGACACAGCTGTTCTGTATGTTCAGGTGGCACAGCTTCATTGAACAGGAGTTCACGAGGGCTGCAGGTTGGGGAACACAAATCAGGTAATGCATCTCAGGAGAGAACATCCTAGATTACTTTGCGACACTGCTGTGTCTTAATCTCTTGAGAAGCATATCCTTGAATGAATGAATCACTTAATGGCTGCAGCACTACCTGCTGGCAAGAGGAGAGGATGATCCTTTTTGCTGAATTCTTTCTTCCCATGGAGCCTGTACAGTGGTACCTAAGAACTTAATTCGTTCTGGAGGTCCGTTCTCAACCTGAAACTGTTCTTAACCTGAGGTAACACTTTAGCTAATGGGGCCTCCCGCTGCCGTCATGCAATTTCTGTTCTCATCCTGAAGCAAAGTTCTTAACCCGAGGTACTATTTCTGGGTTAGCGGAGTCTGTAACCTGAAGCGTCTGTAACCTGAAGCGTCTGTAACCCGAGGTACCACTGTACAATGTTAGTGTAGAAGACTGTTGATGGTAACAGACTACCACCAACCCATCACACCAGTGTTAAAAGACGTGTCCTAGCTTCCCGTCTGCTACCAGGCCAGGTTCAAGGGTCCTGTACCAGTGTACAAAGCCCTGAGTAACTTTGGCCGAGGATGCCTTATTCCCGAGGTACCACTGTATGTGCTAATTTGTTATGACAAAGCAGACAACTGGCGTAGGTGAGGAAGGGGAAATAATTCCCAAGCATAATTTTTAGATGATTGTGATATGATGGAATGGATGGAAATAAATTTGATGGGCATCTCTCTCTCTCTCTCACACACACACACACACTCCTTTTGTGTGATCAACTAGGCCCAGCACACCAAAAGAAAAAAAGAGACAAGACTTTATCAGATTTCTTGACAACAGTTCAGAATCAAGTAAATAAATAAAAACACTTAGTAACTATCCAAATATCTGAAGGGTTGTCCCATGGAAGACGGAGCAAATTTGCTTTCTGCTGCTCTGAAAGGTAGGACCCAAACCAATTGATTCAAATTGCAAAAAAGGAAATTCCAACTAAATATGAAGAATGTTCTGAGGATAGGAGCGGTTTGACAGTGGGAGGAACTGCCTTGGGAAGCCGTGGACTGCCCTTCATTGGAGGTTTTTAACAGCGGTGGGGGTGGTCATCTGTCAGGGGTTTCTTAGCTGTGATTCCTGCGTTGCAAGGGGTTGGAACAGAGGACGCTCGGGTCTCTTCCAAGTCCACAGTTAATTGATTCCATGATTATTGGCTGCTAAATGCAGTTCACCGAAAAGAACCCTTTGAGCTGAAGGAAGGAAATATGCAAAATGTTTCTGTAGTGTATGATGCCTACAGTGGCCCATTCACACATACATGTAGTCCTTTAGAGTTTTAAGGGAAATATTAGGCGCAGATTCCCGTTCTCAGGGGCCAGGCTGATCCTCTTAGCAGGCGAGTCTCTAACTTCCATCTGCGGCTGCTTTGAGGTCTGGTGACGGAAGAGATTGGCACGAAAAGGAAACAGTTCCTCCCCAATATGGGCCAAGGCGGATAATCTCATTCCGTCTGGCTGCCTCCGGATCCACCGCCGCGGCCCGAGCGCGGCTCCACGTGAGGGGGAAGGGCCCGGCCTGGGAGTTCCTCGGTGACGCACACTTCCATATATGGCAGCCCGGGGAGGAGCACCACCCGCGACCGGCGCGGTACTTAAGCTCCCGCGCGGAACTGGGCTGCAGACTGGGACGAAAGTAGGATCCTCCGCGGGGTTGCAAGAGAGGCATCGCCGGGACTGTTGCGCAAAAGCTCGCCCGCTTCCAGCCACCTTTATTACTATTGTTTGCCAGGATTTCCTGGGCCGGCGCAAGGATGGTGATCGAGGAGGTGGTGCCCCTGGCGAGCTCCGGCCTGGCCGCGCTGCTGCGGGACCCCCGGGAGAGCGCGCGCACGCTGGCGCTGGACTGCCGGCCCTTCCTGGCCTTCTGCCAGGCGCACCTGCTGGACTCGCGGCCCGTGCACTGGAACGGGCTGCTGCGGCGCCGCTCCCGCGGCCGGAGCGCCGTCAGCCTGGACTGGCTGCTCCCCGACCGGGCGCTGCTGGCCCGGCTGCGCAAGGGCGAGCTCAGCCACCTGGTGGTGCTGGACGAGGCCAGCTGCTCGCCGGCCGCGCTGCGCCCCGACAGCCTGGCCCGCCTGCTGCTCAGCGCGCTGCTGCGGGAGGAGCGGGCCGGCACCTCGCACATCTACCTGCTGCAAGGTGAGCACCGCCGCCAGGTGGGCTTCCGGGGGAGGGGGGCGAGACACGACCCTCTCCCAGGAGAGGGAGGGGGGAGTCTTTGGGATGGGGCTTGAAGGAAGGCAGGGGCCCCTAGATGGTGGCCCCCGGAAGGGTTCAGATCCCCACCCAGGACTGAAGCTCGCTAGGTGACGGTGGGTCAATCACAGCCTCTCTATTTGCCCACTCTACATGGACATACATGATAGGTTACATCAAATGCTTGGCCTACTCGGAGTAGACCCATTAGAATTAATGGACATTACTGTCTTAGGCCTATTAATTTCAGGAGGCCTGCTCTAAGTAGATCTTAGTCAAGAGGCAATCTATTTATACTTATTAAACTTTTATCCTGTGCTACTTTGGGATGGAGGGCGGGATAACATTAATAATTATAATTATTTTGGGCTGAAAGGAGTTGCTTCAAGTTCAAACACCCCGCTTTGACTTGATAGGGGGGAAAAAAGCCTTGATGTATTACGGCAATCTCTCTAGAGGCTTAAACTTGCCAAGACAAGTTTACACTTAGCTGAGTTCCTCACCTTTCCCAAAAACCTTTGAGTCCAACTGCATCTTTAATTGGGAGAACTGAAGAAAATTCAGTTTTAGGGGGGATTTTTTTTTTTAGTTTAATTAGGAGGCATTAACATAAAGCCAGGATAGCCCTGGAATAGAATTGCTATATCCCAAGCAGACTCATCCCAGCTGTTCCCAAGGTTACTTGCAGCTAAGTCTGGCTGCTGTAGTGGTAACTAAATTGGAATTAAAGCAGTGGATGTACAAATCCCTTCCGCAATGGCTGCCCCGGCATTAAAGTGTACAGGTCATTCGCTAATCTGATTAGCACCTCCAGTATTGTAACCATGTCTGCTTTTGATATTGCATGCAAAGCCATGTTACTCCTGCTCTGTCACATACTATAGCACCTTCATTAGGCTGCATGAACACCAAAAAACAACACCAGATACCAAATAAATACATTTGTTACTGACAGCAGTAAATCTGGGCCCATCCATGCATAAAATAATCAATCATACAAGATATCAGAAACACAAGTTAAAGTTTGTGGCCACAATAGTGGTGTAACTGCAGGTACTTTTTAATGAAAGTGTATTTTAAAGGCACTATTATGAATAGATCTGAATGAAATGTGTGGCCACTATAAACTATTCTAATCTGATATGTCCTTAGTGGTTGCATCTGTATAACATTCATCCCCAACTGGGATACACACTAAAAACTCTCCATTCGTCTGATGTTTAGGTGGCTTTGAGAATTTCCAAGCCAATTTTCCAGAACTGTGCTTGATGTCGCCAACACCGGCTACATCGCCTCCGTCTCCATCTCCTGCTCTCCAAAGCCCTGAAGACAACAGCACAGAAGCAATTACTCCCTTGTATGACCAGGTAAGTTCATGTGAATCTGGAGACCAAAGCAGCAAGAAGTCAAAATACCAATTCCCCCCTCCCCCATATATTACTCTAAGCAGATATTTTTTAAAATTAATATTCTGGGCCATTTAATTGCACTGTCTAGACTTTGCTGTGTGAGTAATCTTAGTAAAATTACTGCTCACATGACAAAATACAGTTGAGACTGCATAAAGGTATATTTATTCAGGTGTTCTTGTCCACCCTCTCCCTGAGGCTTGGAGCTGGTAACCACCAAGGCCGTCACCTACTTTAAGGATTTCACCTGATGCACCGTCTGTCTCAAGTGCGCTGCCTTGCCCCCGCAACTGAGGGGGCCGGTACCACCTGACGTACGCAAGTAACACCGGCATGTTGTGTGATGTGCTGATGTCAGTCGTGCGACATGTTAATGTGTTGTGCACAGGCTCCATGATTAAGGCAAGCATATCACACAGCAAGCGCACACGGCAACTGCAGATTTTTTTTTAGGCCCAGCTCTTAAGCATTTTGGGGGGCCTTCAGCCCCCCTTGTTGGTGCCTGTGGTTTGTCTAGTAACAGATAAATTAAAAAAAAACTTAAATCAGTTATTCTTTTTTACGATTGCATATTACCAAAACCTCAATATAGATGGTTGTGAAGATATCCAAGGAAGTCCAAGAGTTTATAGTTTAATCAGCAAAAGTTTTGTTAGAAGGAAGGGCTATCTGTAATGTTTCTTTCTTTCCTCCCCTTTGCAGTAACATATAAGACTCAAATAACCTTTTTTAAAAAAGCCAAAGTGTCTTCATCTCAAAGCTCTTGCCCATTAACCAACTAAATGATAGAATCATAGAAATGTGGGGTTGGAAGGGACCCTGAGGGTCATCTAGTCCAACCCCCTGCAGTGCACGAATATGCAGCTGTGCCATACGGGGATTGAACCTGTAACCTTGGCATTATCAGCTTCGTTTATTAATCTGCTAATAAACCTTGATAGCATAATAGTAACAGTACTTGATTCATCCCTACAATATTCACCATCAATCCTATTTTGGCACAAAGGCTGATGGGCGCACTCTCCTTGTTCTTTCTCTTCTGCAGGGGGGCCCAGTGGAGATTCTGCCATTCCTCTACCTGGGCAGCTGCTACCACTCCTCCAACCGGGAGGTTCTGGAGTCCCTTGGAATCACTGCTGTGCTCAACGTCTCCTCCAGCTGCCCCAACTACTTCGAAGGCCAGTTCCTGTACAAGAGCATCCCAGTGGAAGACAACCACATGGCTGAGATCAGCGTGTGGTTCCAGGAAGCCATTGACTTCATTGGTAAGTGCAGGTGGCCAGTCAGGCAAACCTTTTCTGCACAAAGAACTCTCGTTCCCTGATGGTGAACTTGGTTGTCTGCACCATCTTGCCACTTTGTAGGGAGGGTTTTGCCACAAACGGGGGCAGACGTGTGGTAGAGAAACTGTCATCCATACCTGCCTCATATTCCAGAGGATTAAGTTATCCCTTGTGATAGTGGAAGAGATTTTGAGAGATTTGCTATTCCCATGGCACACTGATATGCTTTGAACCTCTATTTTGCTTAATGTTGTGAGTGGCAAGAAGGTTTTGTAGACGGTTGGGGGTTGACCTCCAAAGCTATACCACACAGAATGCCAAGCAAACACACAGATGCACACACCCCCACCCTTCTTTTGAGAAGTAACTTGGTAGAAGATTCCCCTTCTTATAGATTAGGAAAACCAGCAAGCTGCCTCATGTTGGCCCATCTAGATCTATATTGTGTACACTGGCTGGCAGTGGCTGCAGCCCTCCCTGGAGATGCCAGGGATTGAACTTGGGACCGTCTGCATGCAGAGCAGATGCTCTACCACTAAGCTACATCCTCCTCCTACCATGCAGGCAACAAAAATGGCCCCCTTGCCCCATAAATGCACTTGCTCCTTGGATATGTCTGCTTCTGGCTCTAGGGCTGCACTGCTCTTGTGGGCTGTCTCTTATGTGGCTGTTCTTGCTTGCTCCTCCTGCAGATTCAGTGAAGAACAGCAGTGGGCGTGTGCTGGTGCACTGCCAAGCTGGCATCTCCCGTTCGGCCACCATTTGCCTTGCCTACTTGATCCAGAGCCGCCGGGTGCGGCTGGAAGAGGCCTTCGACTTTGTCAAGCAGCGCCGTGGGGTGATCTCTCCCAACTTTGGCTTCATGGGGCAGCTCCTGCAGTTCGAGACGGAGGTGCTGTGTCATTAGCCCAGCCGCCCCACAGACCCAGCTGGGAGGGTGGGGCAACCTTCCTCTCTGCGGACAAAAAGACTGATAATGTGTGTTTCTGTTTACATCTCCAAGCGGGTGCTGCAGCAAAGGACAATGTTGTGGTTTTTGTTCATTTGTTTTCTATTGCACTAAATCCTGACTTCAATCTCATGACTACAAAAGCAAAACAAGAGTGTATCAGGAGTGAAGAAAAGATGGTGGCTCCAACTGTGTGTTGGGAAGCTGTCCTGTCCCTTTGTTGGGGAAGAGCTTTAAGGCCAGATCTCTTCGGTTGATGCATTCTCACCTTCTCTGCTACAGTCCAAAGCCAGTGCTTATTGATCATTACTGTCTACACCCACCCCAAACGCAAATAATTGCAGCTTAACGCTGTGGCATCATATCCACGCAATGGTAATGCAGCCGTGCTGCAAACTCCTGATAGGATTATCAGAAGGTTTTCTTTTTGTGAGGTTGAAGCTACTTGGGGAAGTGGGCACTGATTATCGTAATGCAATGATATTGTGCTAATCCAGCCTTCAGCAGCCTGGTGTTCTCTAGATGTTTCGGACACTGTGGGAGTTGTAGATCTGGAGGACACAAAGTTAGCAAAGGCTGGGTTAAGCCATTGTACCCTATATGGTATGCTGATGTCAAAGTGAAGTATAAAATGTGAACAAGCCAGCGAGAGGCTTATAGTTGGATAGCCGTTGCCGGTGTGTATCTCACCCTTCCTTCGTGGAGCTTAAGGTGGCATGAACAAGGCTCTTCTCATTTGATCCTCGCAACAGCTTTTGAGAGAAAGGTTAACCAGAGAGGGTGACTGGCATCTAGACACCCTCTAAGTTCCATAGGCTGAGTTGGCCTTTCGGAACCTGAGTCTGCCTTGCTTGTGTCCCAGCAGTCTGTTCACCATTGTGCCATCCCTTCAGCTGGTGCACTGGGAATCACTGCTGGGTTGTGGCTTGGCCAAAAGGACAAAACAAGTATGTCCCTCAATGCTTGTTTGGACTTAAGGTGAGTCCCAGGTTTGAAAAAGCTGAAGAAGACTTAACTGCAACTGGCCTAATTCTCCCTTCAGCCTGAGAATTCAGGTTGAATGGAGGTGACTTTATAGTCCTATGGCTAAGGCACTCCAGAATCCCTCCTTTTCTACATCTTGATCAGCTGGCCCTATGCAGGAATTGATAGCACACTTCCCCATTTAAAGGCTTCTCTCTGCCTTCTGTCAGAAAAAGTGAAGCTGTTTCACTGAAGCTTTAAAGACTGAGTAATATGTAAGTGAGAGGTCCTTTTTAAAAGAAGCTTGGTTGGCTATCTTCACCTGACTATCCTCAAGTCAACTGTAGATCAGATTTTATTTTAAGCGTAGGAAGTAAGATTATACACTTGAACTACTCTATCTCCATTGTCCAAGTGGTATGAGCTGCTTGCCTCTGGTCTCCAGCCTTATGCAGGTCAGCCATAGATCACCAAGCTCCATCCGTAATGGATTGCTCGTTATTCATATATGCTGTGAAACTGGGAGTCGATAAGCTTTATTAGGGTGAGAGTTGGGTTCCGCATCCCCAGATCAAGAGGGGAGAATTCACTGCCAATTGTACAGCTGCCCTTCCCCCCAGCCCTGGAGAAGAACAGACAAGTATCCTGCCTTCTGGTATGGAGGGGTGGTAGGGGAAGGGGCTCTCTTCTTCTGAATGCACTGAGAACGGACAACACCCACTGCAGCCAAATAAACCCCTCCTTCCCTTCCCCAGGGTGTTGTCGTAAACTCACTGGGCTGTCCTGTGTACCTCCCACTCATTTCAATGAGGCTTGCACAGGCAAACTTTCTGGGGGATTGTGCCCAGTGACCTCTTTCTGCCCCCTCCCCCGCAATATACAGTTTGTACATTTGTGGAAGAAAGAGAAGCACCTCTTTCTTGACTGACATTGATCGTAAATGTCTTTTGCACTTTATATTTATTATTACCTGTTGCAATAAACAACCAGTTTTTATATTGCTTCTTGAGTCTCTTTGAGACTGGCTCAGTCTTTTCCTTATTTATCATGGTATTGATTTAATAGCACCTTGCATCCCAAGGATTGTTGATGTTGTTGTTGTTTAGTCGTGTCTGACTCTTTGTGACCCCATGGACCAGAGCACGCCAGGCACTCCTGTCTTCCACTGCCTCCTGCAGCCTCCCACAGTTTGGTCAAAGGAACAGGAGTCCTGGGTATCAGGAGATCATTTCAGCCCTCTGAGCCACAGCCAGGATGGAGAAGCTCATGCCTTTGGGACGTGGCTCGTTCCCAGCTTAGGTTCCTGGCTGCCTGCTGCTCCCCATCACCCTTCCCAGTCTGCTTCCAAGTATGCAGAGAGGTCACTCCCAGAGCAGACCAGCGCTTGCTCTGTCCCCTCTGTATGTTCCCTTGCTGCCAAGGATGACTGGCTTGAACAATTTCGATGTCTGCGCTGGAAAGTCAGTGAGCCAAGGCCAAGACATCTGTATAGGTGTAGCCCACTTTTATCTTCTGGAACACAAGTAAAACCAACAGAGGAAGAAGGTAAAACAAATACAACAAGTTTTTAGACATGTTGAACAAATATATAGCTTGATGTTGTACACACACACACACACATTTTGCACAGCTGACACAACTTCTTGAACCCTGGAAGGCAAGGCCAACCTAACAGTCTGAAAGCACGTCAAAGTGCAAGTAGATAAATAGGTACCTCTCCAGCGGGAAGGTAAACAGCATTTCCGTGTGCTGCTCTGGTTCGCCAGAAGCGGCTTAGTCATGCTGGCCACATGACCCGGAAGCTATCTGTGGACAAACGCCGGCTCCCTCGGCCAATAAAGCGAGATGAGTGCCACAACCCCAGAGTCGGTCACGACTGGACCTAATGGTCAGGGCTCCCTTTACCTTTAAAGTAGGATGCATCCACACAACAAGTGGTCTCTTTTTTAAAAATAGGTAAAGGTAAAGGTACCCCTGCCCATACGGGTCAGTCATGACCGACTCTAGGGTTGTGCGCCCATCTCACTTAAGAGGCCGGGAGCCGGCGCCGTCCGAAGACACTTCCAGGTCACGTGGCCAGCGTGACGAAGCTGCTCTGGCGAACCAACACCAGCGCCGCACACGGAAACGCCGTTTACCTTCCCGCTATAAAGCGGTACCTATTTATCTACGTGCACTTAAGGGTGCTTTTGAACTGCTAGGTGGGCAGGAGCTGGGACCAAACGACGGGAGCTCACCCCGCCGCGGGGATTCGAACCGCTGACCATGCGACCAGCAAGTCCTAGGCACTGAGGTTTAACCCACAGCGCCACCTGCGTCCCTTTTTAAAAATAAAACCCTTCAATTTGTCAAAAGTTCTCATCAGTCATGTCACCAGTCCTAAAGAGTTTATGGCTGCAGTGATGTAAGCTTTGAACCCAGGACTCTAGCTCAGATGCTTCGTTGCTGTTCAGCGCTAGCTGCTTAAAATAATACTGGTGTTCCTTTGGTACAGAACTTTGATTTGATTACAGAATAAGCTCATGGAAGCTTAGCTGTGGCCATGTGGCTTGACCTTACCTCTGATGTTTTTGTCAAGGCAGCTGGCGGAGAAAGATTGATGCCCCCTTCCTCGCAGAGGCCAAGAGCTTTAGTTGACCTCTGCTTGCCCTCAATCAGTCCATCTCTGGATCATGGCAAGTTGCCCTGTCTAGACCAGAGCCATCCCTCTGCGGGGGGATCCAGGCTGTGTGTCAGCAGGAGGAATTAGCTGTGAGTGGCAGGTGGGATATTGAGATGGAGGGGAGGAGGGGGAAAGAGTACATTTTCTAATCCTTCCCTCTTCCAGGGGAAAAAAAAAACTGATACAGGACCATGGGCATATCACAGACACCTGCCACTAGCTGATCAGCTGAGTCCAGCAGCTAAGGTCTGGTGCCTTGAAAACCCACTGACATCCTACCTTGTGTAGAGGCAAAGCTACACCTGCAACCTCCATTAGTCTCTCAGACATGGTTTAAGATCTCCTTCCCAAATCTGGGAAAGCACTAACTAGGCTTTGGGAAGGAGGTGGTGTTATAGATAAAATAGGGGGATTGGCTTTTGCTGCCCAAGGGACTGAGTCCCCTAAGTCCATGATCAGTTAGAGACGAATGGATGGAGGCAAGATCCATAGAAAGCAAGGCAGAGCTTTATTTTTCTGTCACAACAGAGTTCCCTCCCCTCCTTACAAGGAGGCAGGAGAGACCCAGAACAATGGTGCACAAGCCCCTATAAAGACTTTTGAAATTGCTCACACCTCTAAACCAAGGCCACCCCCAAAAACATCATATATACATCACTGAAGGAGGCGGTCTCCAGCAGAAATCTGAGAGTGTTGCTTCTCTTAAATCTGCCAGGATACCTGATAATACCTTACAGTCATACCTCGGGTTGAATGTGCTTCAGGTTAAGCGCTTTCTGGTTGCGCTCTGTGGCAAACCGGAAGTAATGGAGTGCGTTACTTCCGGGTTTCGCTGCTCGCGCATGCATTCAAAATGACGTAACACGCATGCGCGGAAGTGGCAAAACGCAACCTGCGCACGTGCAGATGCGCCATTGCGTCTTACGTTCCATTCAGGATGCGAATGGGGCTCCGGAACGGATCCCGTTCACATCCCGAGGTACCACTGTACTTGGTTGCATTTTCTGGGTAGCCTGGCCATTCCTTTGAGATGGTAAATACTTTAGTTCCTGAATCTCTTACCCATATTGATAGTTTTCTCATCTTAACAGATACTTGCCAGACTGTATTTGCAGGGAGGTGTAAGCCCCTACAGTCCAAAGACAACTGGAAAGCTTTTCCCATTTCCTTCTTCTTTGCAGAGAAATATTTGAGGTCAATTTGGGAGAGTCAAAATGGCTTCAGGATTGCTCTCCTGTACTATTTCAGATATGTGATTTATATACTTACATGCCTGTTTGCTTTGTACATTTATGAACATTTATTCTATATTTGAGAACTTAGAATTCTTATATCAGCAGGATAACTCTAGGACCCTTGCGCCTCCTTCCCCAAGCCCCGTGCCTCACTGACTGGGCTTGGGGGGCATCAAATGTTACCAAAGGCCACCGAAAAAGGCACCTAGGGCCATGCCTTTGTCTATCCTGGGTTAGAGTGTCAAACTATGCCTCAGAGAACAACAGGGGCAGCACGTCCCGTTTCATCATCTGAGGTGAAATGTGAAGCGCCACATCTGCCACTGGTGGAAGAGCAGCACTACCATTGGCACCAATTTTGGGCAAGATTGTGCCAATTTGGGGTTTCCATTTCCTCCCCTGCTTTTTCCTCCCCTGTGCCTTTTTAGCAGCAGCATAAGTGAGAGAGAGATTAAGATTAAGTACCTGCGTGTGGTCTTTCACATATCTTGCCAGGAAGCGATTCACCCATTTAAATTCTGTATGTCAGTTTATAAAGGCACAGGGTCAGGGGCAGTAAAAGAAAATAGTTAGCAACCCTTCTCAGATTTGGGAGATCAGAAGTTACAGTCAGGGTAAAGAAAAGGAAAGAGCACCCTAGAACCTTCTCAAGAACTTTCATTTATTGCCATTTCACCTCTATCAGAAATACCAATGGACTCTGTCTCTGTGTCATAGGAGCCAGCTGTAGGGGCTGTGGGGGCTTCAGCCCCCACAATAAAATATCTGAGGGGGCTGGGCCCCGACAAAGTTAATGGGCATTCCCATTCAAATGGTGTGTGTACACCATGTAATGTGATTGATTTTTGTGCAGGGCTTACCTGGGCCCCCACAATATTTCATTCAAGTTGGCACCCCTGCTCTATGTGTCAGTTACTCCCTTCCCCCCCCCCCCCAGCCAGAAACATTCTGTTTGCACTAAATTTACCCAGCAGCATTACTTCATCTCAGCTCACTCACCCAAAACAGCCACGTTCAGCTAGAAAATCCCAGTCACAGATGTTCACTCACTTATGGGCACCAAGACAGGCCCTAAAGATAGCCATGGCACATTCAGATATTCTTTCATGCTGGCCTGCTTATGCATGAATGCGTACACACAGTCCATTGCCCTCTTGTGTGCACCTGGCCCCTATTGCCCTTGAAGGCAGTAATAATATACAGTGGTACCTCAGGATACGAATGGGATCCGTTCCGGAGCCCCGTTCGCATCCAGAAGCAAACGTAACTAGCGATGGCACGTCTGCGCACGTGCTCGTCGCTTTTTGCCGCTTCTGCGCATGCGCGCGACGTCATTTTGAGCGTCTGCACATGTGCAAGTGGCGAAACCCGGAAGTAACGTGCTCCGTTACTTCTGGGTTGCCCCGGAGCGCAACTCGAACACGCTCAACCTGAAGCGCATTCAACCCGAGATATGACTGTATTTCAAAGAACGTTACATACCACATCGCGATCATTTTCTCAACCACACAAGGCCAGCATTATAAACCTCCATGAGGGTTTGAGACTGATACAACAAGGCACTCCCAAAGGCTACTGAGGCAAGTGAATAGCTTAGGCGAACTTTGAACCAGGGACTTGTGGGATATACAGTGGTACCTCGGAAGTCGAACGGAATCCATTCCAGAAGTCTGTTCAACTTCCAAAATGTTCAGAAACCAAGGCGCAGTTTCTGATTGGCTGCAGAAAATTCTAGCCATGCCAAGTATAGATAATATCAGCTTCTTTAAATGTCTTACTTTTCTGATTTTGTCTAATCTCCTGTTAAAAACAATATTTGTTCTCCATCTCTTTGTAATATTTTTTAGCACATCAGAGAGGGAACAAGGACATTTGGGTTAGTATGGGGTATGTGTGTATGTGTCTGTCCATTTATATTAGCCTTTGCCAACCTGGTAACCTCCAGATGTTTTGTTTCAGACAGCTGTGCTGGCTGGGGCTGGTGGGAGTTGGAGCCCCAAACATGATGTATAGAAGCATCTGTTGCACATCCTCTTTGGTTTAGCTGAGTCTGACTGCCCCCTTGTGGCTAAATGCTGCTTATAAGAGCAGGAAAACAGCGACACGGTGCCTCCTTCTTTGGGCTGTTCAAAACCTTTGCACTGAAGCAGATGGACTTATGGCAGTGCAGCTTGGAAATGAAGAATGAGGGCTGGGGGTTGGCCTTGGGCAAAATGCCCATAGTGGACACTGAGTGGGCTCACTTCCTTGCCACTGTCGCCACTGGCCATCTGCTTGCCCTCTCCATCATGACCTAATCCCCATACTTCTCAGAAGGAGAGAGTAATGCCAGTGGAAAACAGCTTCTCCTTCTCCTGGCTGTTGATGATGTGCTTGGATGAGGCCGGCAAGCAAGCAGCAAGGAGGAGAAATAAAGCAGACCCTCCAAGTGTCCCTATTTTCCAGGGACATCACTGATTTAGAGACGCTGTCCCAGTTTCTGATTTGATTCTAGATTTGATTCCACTTTTCCTTAGGACGTCCCTATTTTCATTGGAGAAATGTTGAAGGGTATGGAGTTATCAGACCCCGGAGCCATCTGAAGGCAGTCCTGTGCATAGGGAAGGTTTTTTATGTTTAATTTTTAAAAATGTTTTTATATATGTTGGAACCTGCCCAGAGTGGCTGGGGCAACCCAGTAAGATGTGTGGGGTATAAATAATAAAATTATCATTATGGAATGGGACGTCCCTATTTTCTTCGGAGAAATGTTGGAGGGTATGAGAAATGGGGGAGTGAGCACCAGCAGGTCCCTGACAATGCCAGCCCCAGGCCCTGATTCCTGGCCTCAAGTTGCACCTGCTGAAACGCTCCCTTTTACGCCCCCTACTATTTATTTCTATAAATAACTACATGTTTGTTTGTTTATTACATTGCTGTGTCAGTAATCCAAGCACATAATCTGGGATGTTTACATGAACAGTGAAATATAAATGCAATTCACATTAAGTACACTAAAACCAGAAGCAAAAAAAGCTGGGCTAGGGGGCCTGATCCAGCAAGGCAATTCCTGAATGGGCAAAACTTTTGCTATCAGCACATCTCTGTAATGTTTCTGGGCACCAGGAATGAGGAGCAGTTTTATAAAAGAGGCCTTATTCAGAGGAGCCTCTAAGACCCTCTGCTAGAAGTGAAACTGAAGGCAGGCAGCTCAGTTGGCTAAAGCACGGTGCTGATAACCAGGTTCGATCCCCATATTGGCCACCTGTATATTCCTGCATTGCAGGGGGATGAAGGGTCCCTTCCAACTTTACGACTCTAGGACTAAGAAACACAGGGCAAGTCCTCAAACTGCCAAGTCCTTAGCTTTAAGGGAGCATCACCAAAGCACATGCTCTGTCATTACAATCCCCATGACAGGAAAAAGCTTCACCTGCTAATCTTCAAAGTGCCAGGCTGCTCTTAAAGGCCCAGGAGCAGATCCAGATGGGAAAAGGTGGCAATCTGATCTGTATTGGTTGAGTGAGCTCTTCAAGCTGCAGAAGGGCTTCGTCACACAAGGGGTTAAACTGACCTCCTAATGAAGAGGCTTTTGCCAGGTGTTGCCTTTTCACTGCTGCTCTATATAAAAGATCCAGGGGTCCCCTTTGTGGCTTAAGTATTGTTTGCAGTTTGTTTAGGGGAGATTTATCATACTTATAAAAATACACACAGTAACAGTGGGCTTTTTCTTTCGCTATGGCTGTGTTCCTTCATGTTTGGACTGTGGTTATAAGTGCTTTTTTGCTGCTTTCAGGTAAGGGCTAATTCTTTTAACAATGAGGCATTAGTGCGTCTGCTTGTAGACCTTGTGGAAGAGGAAGGGCATTGGCTCAGGGCTAGCTAGCTGCATGCAGAAGCTCCTAAGTTCAGTCCCTGGTATCACCAGGAAGCGCTGGGAAAGACCCACCGCCCCTTGCTTGAAACCCAGGAGAGCTGCTGCCAGACAGACCAATGCTCTGACTCAACAAAACACGGATGCCTTTGTTCCTAACAGTTTGCAACGCCCCACCACTTGGCAATCCTGGGACCCACGCTGCTCCTCCTCGGTTGAACCACTTACTCACTGGGTGGGTGGGGTCTGCTGCTCTGGAAAGTAGCATGCTTTGGCCTCACTTGGCCAGGGGCTCTCTGTGGTATCGCTCTTAAACCTTTTGGTGGCCATATGTTTTAAGCAAGCTGCTATTAAAGTGGGGGGGCTATCCTGGGGTCTGTCTCGGTTAGGTAGCATGTTCAGCTAGGCTGCTTTCACACTCCCTGCCTTCTATCTGCACAATGCTCTGCTTAAGGATGACTGCTGCAAAAATAGAGTAATGTAGGTACTTGAAGCAGCAAAAAGTATGATATAAAATGCTCAGTAATCTGTGTCTAATTCAACCAGTGTGTTATTTGCAAGTTTGCCATCGTGTGGTGAAGCCTAGTATTTATCTTCTTGACAAATCAAACTGAACAGCAAAGGTTCTTTTTTGGTCACTGGTGGCAAAAGAGTGATTAGTAGGGATACCGAATTAAATTTACATTGTTTATTGTGCTATTCAGCGCTGGCTGTGGTGCAGATCTAAAACTGGTTTTAAAATGGTCACAGCTTCCCCTTAAGAACCGACTCCCATTAGCCCACCATTCTCAGGACTTGTTAGAAGCCCTGCCTGTCTTCAGAAGCCCTGAGAGTAGCCATAATTCTGCAATGCCTTGGTCACTTTCACACTATATGCTTAGAGCACATTTATACCACTTCAAAAAGTAATGGTTTCCACATCCCACAGCCCCAAAGAATCCTGGGAACTGTAGTTTGCCAAGACTGCTGAGAGCTATTAGGGCACAGTTCCCAGCACACACAGCAAACTATAGTTCCCAGGATTCTTTGAGGTGGGAATCTATGTACTTTAAATGTATGTTGGGGATGTGAGTAAAGCATCAACCTAGGCTGTTCTGCATCCTGAAACAGCAGTAGGAGGCATAGCTCAGTGGCAGAGCACCTGATTTGTATTCAGAACGCCCCAGGTTCAATTGAATGGTTCAGGTAACAGGTGATGATGGGTGAGATTTGGGAAAGTCAGTGTGTAGAAGTTGGTAAGCTAAATGAATAAGAAGCCTGACCTAGTGTAAGGCAATTTCCAATATTTCTTGAATTTATATCCCACTTTTTACTTCAAAGAGACCATGGTTCTCCCTCTCAGTTAATCCTCACTACAACCCTGTGAGGTATATTGAGCTGAGAGGCAGTGACTGGCCCACCTAGTGAGTTTCATGGCTGAGTGGGGATTTGAACCCAGGCCTTCCCGGTCCTGGCCTGGATCCCTTCTGGCTTCCTATGTGGCTAGCCTCCTCTTGGGTCCTTCCAACAAGGTGTGGATGTTGATGCAATGGGTGTCCCTCTCTCTAGCGCTGCCCGTGCATGGCCGGGGAGACACCTTCTACATTGAGCATGCCCAAGGGAGTGACTGGGATGAGGCCAGGGATCCCCCTGATGACATCCTTGACATTAACCAAGGTAAGTGCTTCTGCTGACTCTGAAGAACACGTGCCCCCACCCCCTGCCTATAAATGATGAAACTCTTTAATATGCTGATTTATACATTTCCCCCCATTGCCCTGGTTCAGTCTGCTGTTTTTGTAAGTTGCAAGGTTTGGCTCACTTTCATGAGTAAATTGACCAAAAACTAATAATCACTATCATGTTTCCCACTATTCTGCCTTGTGTATCTTTTAATGAACTGCCCCTTAAGCAGAGGCTGCGCTGCCTAAAGGGGGGCGGGTTCATGGCCATGCTATATGCAGGGGTGCACTGAAACCACTCACTCAGCCCTGGTCACTGGGAACCTTATTTGGCCACGCTTTGGGCTTGATACTGCCAGGCATGCATTCAAGGACAGCTGCCAGTCTTGAGGGCTGGCACAGCTGGTGACTGGGCGGAACTGCAGCACTAGGGTGTGCTGGATTTTTCAGCTTTCAAATTCCAGAAATTCTACTCGAGTGCAGATCCCTGCTGCATCCAGCACAGATGGTTATTGGGACACTGTGTGCAACTTTTGTTCTCTTGCAGTGGATCCCATTGCATAGCTGTGGTTACATCCACACCACACATTTGAAGCCCGTCCCCCCCCCCCCAAAAAAATCTGGGAACTGTAGTTTGTTAGTTCTGTGAGAAGCAAACTTTAGTTCCTGGGGTGCTTTTTGGGAAAGCCATGCTCTTCAAACATATGATGTGGGTGAGATCTATCAAATGCAGTGTTCACCATCTAAGACCTCTGACGCTGCCAAAATCAATCCAGAGATGGAAAAATGTGTATGAGAAACCTGAATTTTGTTGGAAAAAGTTGCATCCAAAATGTGAGTGATCAAAGTGGCAGGTCTGAAGTTAAAAACTGCAGCAATTTGCTTTCAGCTCTAGTCTGTCGTATTAGGCTACTTGATCAGGTAAAGGCTTCCGCCAGGTACTGAGTCCATTTTTCTCTTCCCAGAGCTGATTTTTCCAGGGGCACCAGAAAGCAGTTTTCTGATCGAGGGGGATATCGTCAAAGCGGTAGGTAATGATGGCAGAACTGGTGCAAGAGACAGACTCTTTCCTAAGATGACTTAATGGAAGATCTGAGTGTGGTCAGGCCGGGACGTAGCCAGGATTTATTTTAGGGGGCCGGCTTTATGTTGGGGGGTTCAGAACCGAGTTATCTGCAACACAGTTGGTCAGTTAAGTATTTTTATATATTTACTTGATTTACCCATGGGCCTCTACATCAGGAGTGGCTGCATGGTGCCCTTCAGATTACAATTCACATCAGCACCAGCCAGCAATCGCAGTGATCAGGGGATGATAAGGGCTGCAGCTCATAAACATCTGAAGAACACTGCTCTTGCTATCCTTGCTCTCTACATCCTGTTGCATCCTGTTGAATCCGGGTAACACGAGCAGCTTGCTTGCTTACCAAACTACCCGTATGGTATGATTGCCATATGTCCAGAATTTCCCAGACATAGCTGGGATTCGGTTGTCAGAAAATGTGTCCTGGCGGAAAAGGCTGAAATCTGTATGTAAGTGTAGATTTTGGCGAATTTCCTTAAAAATATATTCTTTAAAAACCTCCTTTTTCCCCCTCTCTCAACAACTTTTGTGTCCGGATTTTCACATATTGAAATATAACAACCCTACCGTGTGGGAGAGGAGGATGGCTGATAGTTTGCATGAATTCATCTGCTGCAGTCCTGAGAAAAACTCTGAGGCTGCTATGTATTTGCACTGCTGGGAAGCTCATTCTCACCAGCCCAGGGGATTCTGTTAGCTTTGTGCCCCTAGAGGACTGGTGCCTAAAGCAACCCTTTTGCATTTCTATCCTGCCTGTTTTCTGTGCAGCTCAGAGAGCCACGCGTGAGGCTTCCAGGTGCTCTGCCCAGCCTGCTTTGCTTCAGCAACTTGGAACTGTGTTGGCAGCCTTTGGCCCACAATTTGGTATTGCCTGCTGGGTTGCTTCTGTAAACTAAAAGAGTAAAAGAGCAAGCAGGGCATAAAAACTGCTGTCCAGAGACCAATGAGGTCACTGCATTCCTTGGTGTGACCTCAGGAGTGTCCCTAACAGGAGAACTTGGCATTCTGTTGATAGCAAAATGGTTTGTGGAGGGGCTTCTGCAGCTCAATGAAGCTGAAGGTCCCAGGTTCAGTCCCTGGAAAAGCTCTTCCTTGGAACCCTGGAGAGCTTCTGCCAGCCAGTGCTGGCAATGGTCTGGCACATTACAATGCAGCTTCTGATGTGAAAGTGGTGCTGATTCTCTCCCATATAGAGTCCTTTCAGGCTGTTCCCATCTGCCAACCCAAGATGGCCAAAGAAGAGAGGGATTGTCCAAATTCCCTATGTAATCTCCTACAAATATGGTAAGTAACAAACTTTGGAACCTCTTCCAGTAGGAACAGGGCATAGATGTTATGAATAACTTAGGTTCTTTTATCTGTTTAGGTGTTTAGCATAAATGAGATTCAGTGCACTCCAGGAAGAACACAAGTAAGCAGTCAGACAACCAATATATTGGAATTTCTACGTAACATTTATTGATTAACGATCATAACACATAACAAGACAAGGGAGCATGCACTCAGTCACTCACGCAAACATACTCACCGCCTCTTTCCTGGAAGCGATTAAGTTCCAGTAAGAGTCCTGGGTGATCAGACAGTGAGGCCCCAGCTGCGTCTGACACACAGACTCATCTGAAAAATCTCAGTCTTACGTAGTATTTTTGGTGTTCTTGGCAGTCCTTTGTCTTTAGCATGTTCTTGGCATATCACAACTCTCATTGTTTGCACCTGGCGTTCTGTAACTTTTGGCACAGTATGATACTCATTGTTTGCAACCAGCATTGCTTGGTCTTTACGCTTCCTTGCAGGTACAGTACTTTAGCCAGAACATGAACAGTCCATTAGCTCTTTGATCAACATAGTTCATCAATTGTTCATTAACAGCATCCATTTTGTGTGGCGCTCTTCAGCCATCTTGCGGCCCATTCAAACATGGCATTTGTTACATAGAGATAGGGTAGAAACCTGATTCAGGACTTGCCCACACATTACCTTTTGCCCTGCTCTTTCCAGGCACAGTTCCACACTTTAAAGCTCTCTGTTTGAGAACCCCCTTTTTTTTGCCCCAGAGCTTTCCCTGTGAAAACCTCTTTAAAGCTGAATTGGAGCAAATTGGAGCAGTTGGGTTTTCTGCAGATCGCCATTTGCTCCGATTGAGTGCTAAAGAGTGGGGGTTTTCATGGAGAAAGCTCTGGAGCAATAGGGCGGGGAGGGGGGGATTCGGACATGGAGCTATAAAGCATGGACCAGGGAAAGGTAAGTGTGGATAAGCCCACAGTTTGCATTTATAGGCAAATTTTGCTCATTAGCACTTTCCAAAATACACAAGCACATGGCCATCCTTCAAAATTAGCACTTCTCTGACTGTTCAGTGCAGTTTTGTAGGCTGGTAATACTTGCAAAAATGTGTATACAAGGTGGGTGTGCATAAAAACGTACGTGCTTGTGAAACTAACATACAGAAAGACATTAAGTTGGGCAAAAGTGCATACAAAGATGTGCCTTTTGGGAGAAATTAGCAGTGAAATGCTGATGAATTTTCATGAGCAGTTTTTAAGTCATAAACTGATGTGGAGAATTGAACTTGGGATTGGGACAGTGAAAGAATAAAGATAAATGGATGGATTCGCCCAGCCTTGCTGCTGAGGGAGAGGTGATGGAGGCTGGATGGAGTCCAGTTAAGGAGCAAGTGGATCCAACTTCCACCTTTCTGGCAAAACAGCCTTCTCTCCCCAAGCAAGTGCTCTCCAGATGTTTTGTACTTCAGTTCTCACCAGCCTCAACCAGACATAGCCCACAACATCTGGAGAGCACTGGGCATGGGCAATTCCAGGGGGACAGAGGGGCAACCACCCCTCCCTAATTGCTGGACTCCTGTCATTAACATTTACTGTTATTTTTCTTTCAGAGCTCTTAACAGCTTGTCCATCTAGAAATATACTTTGCCCCTTCTGTGCCCCCCCTCCATTTTTTTTCTGGGGCTGCTACTAGTGTTGGGTTGGGAGGCCAAGTTTTGAATGACCAAGGTGCTGAATAACTTAGCCCCTCCCCCCAATCTGCGCTATGCATCCAAAGCCCTAGGAACTGTGGTATTTTAAAGGTGATGAGAGGTGTCAGGAGACCCCTATTTCCTTCACAGAGCTGCAGTTCCCAGAGTTCCCTGGAAAAAAGAGAATGATTGCTAGAACTATAGTTCTCAAAGTAGATCATGGTGGGGATTCTGCTTCCAACAACCATCGTGGCTACTAGTCATTGTTAGCCATGAACATTACTCCATGAACCTGTCAAATTATCTTTTAAAATTATCTAAGTTGGTGGCCAATATGACATCCTTTGGGAACAGATTTCATGACTTAACTCTGTGGCTCTTTGCCGCCACTACTGGCTCCAGGAAATCCTCTTTGGTTCTCATTGGAATGAGAGCAAGCTACCAGGATAGCGCTGATTCCCTTGGATGACTATGATTGGGGGGCAGGGACGAGGGAAGGAGCTGAGGGTGTGTTGATGTGTGCAACAGGAGGGGACAGGCCTACTTAAATGTCTTGCATTTGATTAATGGTGTAGAAAATAAGCTGAACTTGCTAAGTGCTCCTATTCTGAGTAAAAGGATTCTGCTCTGAGCATTCTGACCCTGCTCTTGCCTGTATTCTTATTGTTCCTGCCAGACGAATCCAGCGTGAAGATACTCAAGGGAGCATTTGAAGACTTTTCAAAGTTCACGTGCATCAAGTTTGTCCCTTATTCCAACCAGAGAGATTTCATTGCCATTGCCCCACTCTCTGGGTTAGTAGTGACTTACAAGATGTATCTTACTGGGGAGTAATGGGGTGGTCTCCTAGTGGATGACCCACCTCCTGCAAAAGCTAGATTCTCTTCCTTCCAGTGCCTCTGCTTCCTCCAGTTTTGTTCTGCAGCTCAACTTCCTGGCCTGATATACTAGTGCAGATAACCATGATGGCTGCAGATGATGGAAGCTGTAGTCCCAAATCATTTGGAGAGCACCAGATTGGGCAAGCCTGTGCTAGAAAGGCAAAATCAAAATTTTGGGATGGGCCATGTGCTGAAGAGGATCTTGGAAATGTTGACTTTTGGATATTTGCAGTTATGCTAGACATGCAATGACATTCTTCAATAATAGCCAACTCTGGGTAGTATATGGGAGCTGCTTTTAACAACATGTAATACACTTCTGTAGAAAGATTTTAACCAGTTGGTAGAATTTCCCCTTGAACAGATGAGGAACAATCAAATTTTGAAGTTCTGGTTTCAAATTCAAAACTTCATTTGGGGGTGCATGTCAAAAGTTAGCAAATTTGAGTGTTGGCTTATAAAGTTTTCTGTACTTCATATGTATGGACCTAATTTGTGGATCAGAAGTTGGTTATTTGCTGGATGTTGTATTTATAAAATATTCTGATTCAGTTCATGGAATATTTTTTCAGTGGTGGCACCATGGTTGTAGAATTTCCTCTCCAGCGACATCCAAAATGCCTACCGCACTGATGGGTTTGAAGATTACTTCTCAATGTTACTAGAACATTGTGCTTTTTGTGGCTCTTGGAGTTTACTGGAGGGTTGTTATCATTTTAGTATATTGCTTTTGTTTTTTATTGCTAGACCTTTCTGTAGATTTCCAATGCAGATTTTATGTACTGTTGTGTTCCCTTGCTTTTTCTACCACAAAACGGCTATCTATATTTAAATAGGCAGGCTGGTACCCTATGAGCATTGGCTCCTTAGGCATGGGATAGGTTGTTTGGTTGCAATACAACTTCTTAACGCGTCTCTTTCACTCTCTCTCTCCAGCTGCTTCTCCAGTGTTGGGCGCATTGGTGGGATGCAGGTGGTTTCCTTGGCGCCCGCTTGCCTCCGCAAGGGGAAGGGGGTGGCACTGCATGAGCTCATGCATGTCGTGGGCTTCTGGCATGAGCACTCCAGAGCAGACCGGGACAAGTACATCAGCATCTCCTGGGACGAAATCTTGACTGGTAATGGTTGCTTCGGCTTTTCTAGCTGGCTCTGTGTGGCCCCAGGTGTATTTTTTTGAGGGGGCACGACTGAGCACCCCCACAACAGGCTGCCCCATTGGACCCTGGCTCCAGCGCATGAGGGAGGGAATACCCCCTGCCTGAAACCTGGAGAGCTGCTGCCAGGCTGTGTCAATCCAGGGTGTGCTCAGTGACCAAATGCAACTCTCTAGTCTCTCTGCTGAGCCGCTGGGACTAGGGATGAGGGGTGGGGGTGGGAATTAAACCCAATCCGCTTTTAATGCCAAATCTATCAAATTCACTTGGGACTTCCTCCCCTGCGGTGGGACCAGGGACTCTGAATGCTTGTTATCCACTGCTGCTGAGACCCTCCTGCTTGTAGACCTAATCCCCTTCTTGGATTCACAGGCTTTGAAATAAACTTCATGAAGTCTTGGAATACCAACATGCTGGTGGATTATGACTACTCCTCTGTAATGCACTATGGCAGGTAAGCAAACCTACAAGAAGGCTCCTAGCTATTATAAAGAAAATGTTGGGGACGTGTGAAGCACCCCGTGCTGCCTCTCGTTGGCAGTGGAGTGGGGCCAGGGCAGGTATGTCCACATTGCCAAAGGGGTGTTGCGTGTTCTGGGTGACTGTCTGCAAAAGCAGGTGCATTTATAGTAAGGGCAGAATTTTCCAACCTGTTTGGAGCCTGCCATTCGTGCTCCTTGTTCTTACATGCATATTCTTTGGTAAGCCATGGGACATGTCTGAGTCACTGTGTCTGAAGAACGTGACCTACACTGGCTATCTGATGGGATGGCTGGTGATAGGGACCCTTGTGGTGGAACCATGACTTGGGAGCAAGAGTGCATTGTTTGCATGAAGAATCTTGGCTATGGGCGATTTCCAGTTTGGAGGCAGTAATGCTTCTGAATGCCAGTCACTGGCTGCCACTCACGGGATGTGCTCTTGGACGCCAGCAGGCTCTTCTTAGGTTCTTACATTCCAGTTCAAAGGGTTGAGTAGCAGGTAAGACCCTTCTGTACCTGAGACTCTGGGCTGCTGCTGCTGCCGGTCAGAGTGGGTGGTACTAAGCTTGATGGAGCTAGATATAAAGCACCTTCCTATGTTAAGCAGAACCAGGATAGTCCCCCTGTGTATGTACAAGAGTGGCTCACACTGCTTTATCTTCCTCTTTGCCTCCACTAGGAATGCCTTCAGCATGTCTGGCTCAGCCACCATAACACCACTCTCCAGTTCCCTGACCTTTCTTGGACAAAGGTGGAACCTGAGCAATTCAGATGTTGCCAGAGTCAACAAGCTTTATAAATGTTCTCAGGCTGCAGCACAGCCAGGTAAGAAAATGAAGACTCAACAAAGCTTAGTTTCCCAAATCCTGTATTTTGAACGCTTATGCGTGCGTGCAATTGAGTTTTCCATATGTTGACCATTTGCTTTGATTTAGTAGTAAAATGCGGGCTTTCCCAGGGAAGGCACTGGGACAAAAATAATAAAAAAACCCAGACACAGAGCTTTAAAAGAAGTCTGGATGAACCCTCAGTTTCTTGGTTTCTCTACCCCACAAAGCTAAGGTTGTTTCTCACCTTAAATATCAAGGGAGTCGTAGGTTGGCTCTTGAGTGTCCCCAACAGAAGGCAGCTATGATGCTCCAAATGTGTCTGGCATGATAAACATAATTGTGTTCATGTACACATCTCTTTTGATGCACACAACTTAACAATGGGTGAAGCAGTGCTGTGCTAAATTTCTTATGCCTTTTAAAAAGCCATTCTCCCTCAGTTAATGAGAGAAGGAACTGCATTTGCAGGTTATTAAAAGGGAGAATAGTTTGGTGGAATTCTCATGGGTGGGGAGCAGGGGTTGTGTTGCACTTGCCTTACTTCTGAGTTTAGCCAAAGGGTGTTGTGGGAGTGTCCTTTCTTTCATTCTACAAATCTGCTCACCAGAGATCTGTACTCTGCAACCTTCCTGGGTGCCTGTGAGATAATACCTCCATGTAGCTTTTCCAGATCAGGAGGTTTGAGCAGCCAGGAAGGCTGCAGACTGCTGAAGAAAGGTTTATGGGAAGAAAAACATTAACCATAACAAAAGTTAAGCTCAAAAACACCATTTCTGCCGAAATTCTATAGTGGCCTGAGAATGAGGGAGAATAATTGAGGGTTGTATCCAACTGAAATTAATGGAGCTGAGTTAGTCATGTCTATGCTGTGTACATGCTATACCTTGAAAGCATTTTCTTTCCCTCAAATTATTCTGGGCACTGTAGTTTAAGGGTTTCTGGGAATTGTAAACTCTACTGTGCCCAGAATTCTTTGAGGGAAAGAATGTGCTTTGAGTATAAGTTGCATACACAACCAATGACTTCAGTGGGTCTGCTTTGACTAATGTTGGCTACAACACAGAAGCATCTTTCAAAGGAGAAGAAAACTTTCAAGAAATTGGGAAGATTTTGACACAGGACATGTGACATGACACAGGAACATGTGGCTGGGAACATGTATGATAATTGACAGAAGTTCTAATTGCTTTGTTTTCAGAGGCATCTACCAAGGGAGTCATCAAAGAGAATGTAATGGACTTCATGCCAAGTGAACCTAAGCCCCATACAACGCAAAACAAACCCAAAGTATCTACTGCCTGGAATCTCAGTTCTATAGCGTCTTCCAAGGAAATGCCACATCCGGTCAGAGAGCCTCTGGGGACCATCACACCATCAAGCAAGGTTGCTGGTGAAAACATTAGTACCACAGAAGCCCAGACAAGGGAGGTTTGGTCACCTGGGCCAAAGATACAAATGCAAAGGACAATGTCTCAGCATACCCCTGGTAAAGCAGAAGGGAGTAAAAAATCTCTAGTGGTTACAGAAGAGATGCTGCATCAAACCGTATCTGGAGAAATGGCAGTGAGTGATGTTGCCCAGAAAACTTCTGAACCGCAAACTCTGCAGAATCCCACCAGTAGTGCAAGGGAGTTGAGAAGCCAGCCTCCAAGCTATGAGGAGGTCTACATACCAAGTGACCAAAGCCCCGTAGAAGTAACGACAAGCAGTGCTCCGGAGGTGGAGCTTTCGCTTTCCTTTCTGACCAAAAGCCCAGACGCTTTCCCAATGAAAACGGTCCAGGGATCTGCCACAAGACTTGGTAAGAAAGCTCTGGACTGGACACCTTCTAGAACAAGAGCCATGCATATAGAGCATAGAACAGAACTGCCTACTACTATGGTGAGAGGAGAACTGTCTACTGCTATGGAGATTGGAAGCTCCCCATTAATGAGAAGCAGTGAGGCCGAGGATAGACATGGTTCCCCAAGCCCAGCTGAGGACCGCCCTTTCTCTGCGATGGAAAACCAAACTGGGAAACAGCTGGCTCAGCTATTTCTTCAGACCATAAGCATCTTTAGAAACGAAACAGGTAGCACTGCTTCTACAACCCCCGTAGTCCAGGCTGAAGCAGGGTCTTCATACACAACAGCCTCTCCAAGAGCCTCTAGGAACTTGATCACAGCCTCCGGTGTGGTGGGACTGGAAGAAACCAAACACAGTGAAGTGGAAAGCCTGGGAAGCTTTGGCACAATTGAGAGCCAGAGTGAGATTATGAAAAAGGAAAGGGAAAGCTTCCACACCAAGGAAGGGAGCAGGCCAACCGACGTGCTATCTTCTAGCGGCAAAGAACAGTATACAAGACATAGATTGGAACCTGGCATGTTTGCTACCCAGGGGCTTCCCTCTCTTGGAAGTTCAGAGGCTCAGGAAAGCCACCTTAGTCAGGCAACTGCTGGAGCCCCATCCCCTTGGGCTTCTGTCATAGGCCCTCTTGCCGTTTCCAAGCTAAATGTAGCAACTTACTCAAAGAGCAACCAGACCCAAGTGGAACAGTTTGATCGGTCAGCTGCTCAGCTGGCCAGGAAGGGCTACAGAAAAGAGGCACTTACAACACACATACCACCAGGGCCTCTCTTAGTGCAAGTTACTGAACCTGAACTGGAGGCTGAGGAGCAGACCCTTGTCCATGCAGAACTGCCAAGCCAAACTCCCACTTTACAGGATTGGGCTTCACTGGCAATGGAAACCAACCAGGCTATACATCCTACAGAGGGAACATTTCCTCTTCCTCTGTCCCACACCCCTAGACCCGCTGAAACAAGACACAAAACTTCATGGTTGCAACAACCAAGCAACACCAAAGTCTATGGCCCTAGTGCCCACGTTCCAGGATGGGGCCCCTTTGCAGATCTACACGAGGAAGAATTTGAACACACTTTAGAAACAGCGTCCATTACAACAATGTGGCCATCTACAGCACAAGAATTCAGGGTGAGCCATGAAAAAGAAGTTAGAACTGGACACTCTGAAGAAGCCAAGGCTCATTGGAAAGCACCTTTGCTTTCCCCTGAGCCGTTTGAGGACCAGATGCCCACCCAACCTAAATACCGGGTGGCAGGTACTCCATGGCAGCGTTCTTCTACCCCCTCAGTAACAACTGGCCTCCCTGGTGTGGTGCAGATCAGGAATCCTAATGGGCCAGGAGCAGCAGCACCCCAAAGACCATGCAATGGGGAATTGGCAGGCTCTTCACCTGGGACGGAATATGGACTAACATCCACACGCGTGTTGCCCAAATTGGAAACTACAAGCCAAGAACATTCAGGATCAGAAAAGAGAGATCATAGCCCTACCTCCAAAGGGGACTCTCTGCCAGTGAGAAGAACAAGTCCTCCTCCTAAAGACCACACTTCATCAGCAATGGTGAGTCAACTGATGCAGACAAGGACCCCAAAGAGGACTGTGGCAAGTGATGAAGGATCTGTTACTGCTGGCTCTTTCAATTTATCCACCATTTTGCTCTCTAGCAAACCAGCTTTAAAGGGACCCCAAAGCTCTTCTCCTTTGAGGAGAACAGAACCTGTGATGAAAACTGAGAGCCCACCTACACAATTCTTGGAAACAGCCATGGAAACAAAACCTTCCTCTAAGCTTAAAGAAACCCTTGCAGAAGGGGAAATGACTGAACCAGCAAATGCCACAGAAGACATGTCCCTCCATGTGATGAACTTGGCAACAAATCCTACTTGGAAAGCCACAGCTGGCAGAAATGGGGCACAATCTCCCTCATTAGATATGGAACCAACAGGATTGCCCCAAGTTGCTGCTGAAGGGACGGCTCTGCTCCTGACTATTGGCTCGCTAAAGTCTCCCAAACACATAAACTTAAGAGGACAGCCTACCAGTAGCCAGCTCAGGAAAGAAACCATGACATCTATGGCAAAGATTCTTGCAGTGGACATGGTGTCAGCATTATCAGCATCCAGTACCAGTCCTCTAGACACAAGGGGAAACAAGGCAACCTTGTTGACAGGTGCAAAAGAGGCTACAAGGAGATCTTCCAAGAAAAGTGGAGAAACTGCTCTAGAGATCTATGCCAGCACACCAGCTCCTGAATCGCACAAGACAGCTACAATTGGAGTTTCCACCCTGGGATCCCGTGAGGAGCATGCTGTAGCAACTAAAATCACACAATTCCAGCCTGAACATGGAACCCAAAGACCAGAGGTGGGGTATGAACACAGTAGGTTTCCTCTTGTAGGAATGGGAAATGGAGAGCTACAGGCTCCCTCTACAAAATTTCCCAGGCACTCCTCCAAGACCCAAATTGTAGTGAATCTGGAGGAAATGTCTGGAAACCATACAGAGAAAATGAAGTCCAAGGAAAATGAGGTGCCCCCTATAGACAACCCTAACTTCTCCCACCGTGTTGGCAAGAGGTCTTTAGCAGAGATAATGGCAACTCCAGCATCTCTGAGTGTTGCTCTACCAGAGGAAATTGATCATGAATTTATAGGCCACATGGATGAGCCTTCCCCAGTTGAAAATGTGGCAGACAAAATGGAGGCAGCAAAACCATTGCCATTTGGAATGTCCAGGTTGTCCACTCTTCTCCAAGGGCTGCCTTCTGCTCTGAAAAAGGCAGAAAATAACCAAGTGGCTCCCCCAAGAACTGTGAAAGCTCCACAGCCTCTGACCACTTTTTGTCCCTTTGAGAAGAATTTGTGTGGCTGGGAGCAAAGCAAGGAGGATGACCTGGACTGGGTGCTTGAAGAGGGGCAGGAGCAGCTCGTTAGGACTGGGGGAGGTGGAAGCCCCCCTGGAATGCCTTGCACAACCTCAGGTGGTAAGTGACTCCTGCGCTCTCAGGCAGCGTCTGCTCCACTTTGGGGTGTGCTGCAGGGTCTTCTGAGTGGTGGGAGTTCAGGACAGACAAAAAGAAATGCTTAAGGGATTGACTGTAGCAAGATTGTGGTAGTGACCACCAATTTGGGCAGCTTTAAAAAAGGATTGGACAAATCCACGGAGGATAAGACCATTACTGACTACCGGCCATAGAAGGGCTATACGTTACCTGCTCTCTCAGTAAGTCTCTGGGTCCCAATTGCTAGGAGAACTCAAGTGAGAGAGTGCTTTTCACACAAGTGGGACTGGGTGCTGGACTATATGCACCTTTTGGTCAGATCCAGCAGACTCTTAAATCAGGAGATGGTGGAGTTTCCATATCCATTTCCACTTGAGCTCTCTTGGTGATGGCCAAACTCTGGCCCTCTGCAAGGACTATGACAAACACAGTGGGGGTTCCCCCCTGCACCTGACTCTGCTATCCTCTCTGGAGAGTCAGGAGAGCCCCATAACAGCATGTGGAGGGAGGATAGGAGAGGTTAATAATAATAATAATAATAGATACCTCACCCTCCCCAGCCAAAACCGGGCTCAGAGCGGCTAACATCAAATGTATAACACATTAACATAAAACCAGGCAATCAATTAAAATACATCCTAAAATCAGATCAGGATCAGAATAAAATCCAATCAGAGGCAACCCCCAGATTAGAGTTAGGGACCTTAAATGCTCACCAGGCCCACCTGTTTGTGCTGAACTTAGATGGCCTGTGAGAAAAATTCTATACGGCAACCATATGTCAGGAGTGCTCTGATGGTGTTTCCTGCTTGGCAGGGGGTTGGACTCGATGGCCCTTGTGGTCTCTTCCAACTCTATGATTCTATGATTCTATGATTCTAAGTTGAAATCTTCTGATGAAGCAACTGGAAGTGTGTGGTGTTGAGTTCCTCCCTCTGCTGTGAGAAGCAGTTATTTCATTTTGCTACGTGGCAGTGACCTCTGCTTTTGGGAACATTTTAATGATTGATGTCTCATTCTTCCTCCCATCCCATTTACAGGTTGTCTTGGGTGGGGGCTTCCCAACATCAGCTCCAGATTGTTAGTCTTATGTGAAGGGTCATGATGGTCCAAATTATACCTGTTTCATCTCTTCACCAGGTGGCTACCTTTCACTGATGCCTTTGGCCCACAATTCTAGTCAAAAGGCTGTTCTGGTCAGCCCAGTTGTGCAGGGCATCAGGTGCCTCAAATTCTGGTACAGCCGAGGGGACCTTCTCATGAGTAAGTGGCTTCTGTATAAAAGGGAGTGTGTGTGGATGAGGCTGCCAGTAGGCGGCTGGCTTGTCTGTATGCAACAGTTCTGGACTGCCAGCTGAGACCCTAATTCCCAGTTTCCCAAAACTGGGTGACCCAGAGTTCTCTAAGGCCCTAGTGCTGATGAGGGATTTTATGTTTGGAATAAATGAAACACAGGCACCTTAGTCTGTAGGTAACCTGTTGTTGGCATCTATCTGTCTCAACAAACAACGGAGTGTGCCTCAGGGAGAAAGTAAAACTGCTGCGTTATCAGCACCAAAGTGACCTCCCTGGGGCACAATCCTAGGCGGTGTGTATGGAGGTCCTGGGCTACCCAGACAACAAGGCCCTCATCTCGGCCTCACTGATGTGGCCCAAAGGAAAGCAGAGAAGTACGTTTGGCACCAGCTTGGCTGCAGGAGGTGCTGGAAGGAAGCACACAGCCATTCAACCATCTTAGGGACTCCATTCCGGATTGGAGTAGGGTTTGCTCCTGAGCCTTTGCTTCTTCCAAAGATGTCCCACAAGGCAGCAGAAGTTTAGGATCAGAGTTGTCCTTCTCTTAGATGGGCTGTAGGTAGGCCACCTACAGCAAAAGAAAAAGGTATATTTTGCATATTTGCCTTCAACCTCACCTTAGTTCCTGTGGTTGAGGGGATCCTGTCTGGAAGCCTCAGTTAGAGCCATAACACAATGGGTTGTTTCCTTCATAACAACCATCTTTTTAGAAAACAACATTGCTCCCTGTATCTTTAAGTGAGGTGCCTACATAGGAAGCTGCCTTATAGGGAGTGAGATCATTGGTTGCTCTTTCTTAGAACTGTATACAGTGGTATCTTCGTTCCCAAATGGCTTGGCTCTCAAACAAATTGGTTCCTGAACGCTGCAAACCCGGAAGTGTTCAAGTTTGTGAACGTTTTTCAGAAGCCAAACGTCTGACGCAGCTTCCGCGGCTTCTGATTGAGTGTCAGGAAGCTACTACAGCCAGTCGGAAGCTGCACCTTGTTTTTCAAATGGTTTCGGGAGTCGAATGGACTCCCGGAACAGATTAAGTTCGAGAACTAAGGTACCACTGTATAAAGACTGGCAGTGACTCTCCAGGGTTTCTGAAGGGGAACATCCCCAGACCTACCTGGAGGTGCCATCGGGGGCAAACCTGGGTTTTTTTGCATAATTATCCACTTACAGTGGTACCTCGGGTTACAGATGCTTCAGGTTACAGACTCAGCTAACCCAGAAATAGTACCTTGGGTTAAGAACTTGGCTTCAGGATGAGAACAGAAATCGCGCGGCAGCAGCATGGCAGCAGTGGGAGGCCCATTAGCTAAAGTGGTACCTCAGGTTATGAACAGTTTCAGTTTAAGAACAGACCTCCAGAACGAATTAAGTTCTTAACCTGAGGTACCACTGTACTCTCCTACCTTCCCCGCCCCGCGTGAGTGAGTGCAGTTTCCCATTTGACAATCCTGTTAGATTCCCCACTCCTAGTGTGCATTTTATCCAAAACTGGAAAAGACATTTATAGCTTAGTGTTGAACATTTTGTGCCAAATCTGTGTGTGTTGAACTTTTAAAAATACTATTTGGTAGCAGTTTATCATTCAGCGTGACTCCTGTTTCTGAGGCGGGTGAAATCTTTGCAGGTGAAATCAACGTCTACATAATGCTCCGGAATTCCTCTGAATGGCACAAAATGTGGTCTCTGAGGGGGAATCAAGGCACTGGCTGGCATCTGGCGGCTGTAGCCATTTCCAAGACTTGTGAGCTACAGGTAAGCATTTATGGTCTGCCTTCAAGACACAACTGGTTGGAATAGCTTAAGAAGACCCTTTATGGAAAGTGCATCTCTGGTAATGGCAGAGTCGATGTGAGCTGACAGGATGGTGGTCGCTAAGAAGACAAAAAGGTCCCAGAGTCCATAAATTCTAGACTTCAGCTGGTTAAGAAAAGTGGTAAACATGTACTGGGATACAAACTAACTCTGAAAATGATCTCGCAGGACAGCCAGCTCTGTCCAGCTGTCCAGCTCTAAGGAAATCAGAGACTGAGTACTATGCTAAGTTGGTGAAAACTGGTGTGCCCCACTGTAACAATACTGATTTGGGTACAACTTGTGGAAAGTTAAAGGTAAAAGTAAATAATGCTTTAGCTGAGATTCCTGCTTTGCAGGGGGTTGGACTAGATGACACTTGGGTCCCTTCCAACGCTAAGATTCTATCATTCTATGACCCCTGGACAGTTAAGTCCAGTAAACTTGACCATGGAGTGTAGTGCTCAACTCTACTTTCAGGCCGGTGTTTGTCTGCAGACAGCTTTCTGGGTCATGTGGCCAGCATGACTAAACCGCTTCTGGTGCAACAGGACACCGTGACGAGTGCCAGAGCACATGGAAACACTGTTTACCTTCCCGCCACAGCAGTTCCTATTTACTTGTTCTGGTATGCTTTTAAACTACTAGGTTGGCAGGAGTTGGAATAGAGCAATGGGAGCTCACTCCATTGCATGGACTCAAACTGCCAACCTTCTGATCGGCAAGCCCAAGAGGCTTTGTGGTTTAGACCACAGCGCCCTTGTGGAAAGTACTACAGAGTGTATACACTCACCATCATTGACCCAGGTCACTAGAAGCATGCCAGAGCAAACCAGCGAGAAGCAGACACTGCTGAACTTTAAATTTTGTGTAATAATACTGGCTACAAATAAAAATAAACAAACAAAACAAAAAACCTGTCAACCTAGCAGTTCGAAAGCACGTCAAAGTGCAAGTAGATAAATAGGTACCGCTCCGGCGGGAAGGTAAACGGTGTTTCCATGCGCTGCTCTGGTTCTCCAGAAGCAGCTTAGTCATGCTGGCCACATGACCCGGAAGCTGTACCCCGGCTCCCTTGGCCAGTAAAGCGAGATGAGCGCTGCAACCCCAGAGTCGGCCACGACTGGACCTAATGCTCAGGGGTCCCTTTACCTTTATGTTTACAAATAAAAATAAGGCCCTTTACCAAATCCTCAAAGCTCTTCTATGTATGCCCAGCAGATAAAACAGTTGGGGAAATGAGTAGATTTGAAAGGCAATCCCACTGGGAACATCTCCTGCTGAAGCTTCTGCAACAGAGCACTTTCTGGTGGCATCACACTCCTGGAGTGCTGTTAGCCCTGAATGAGATGAGAGGCTGCTACTGATAGTGATGGCAACTTTCCTCCAAAGACAAAAAGCAGGGTTGTTTTTTTGGGGAGGGGGTATTTTCTGCTGTTGTGTCAGGACTGTAGTCAGGGCAAGGGTCTCAAAGCCTGGGGAGTGAGAGATGCTGCTGCAGAACTTTACGCTTAAGACGCACATGTTGCTGCATGCTCTTTGGCTCTTAATTCTAGGACTTTGAAAAGCTGCAGGCAGCTGAGCTTCTTCAGGTGGCTGAATGAAACTACAGACTCTGCTCTCTCTGCAGGTGGTGCTGGAAGGTGTCACTGGCCCCAAAGCAAGGCATAGTGCTGGGATTGATGATCTGCTTCTCTGCAGGAAGCCGTGTGGCCAATGTTACAGCAATACGACACGTTCCTTGTGCAACAAGTGAACAAAATAAACCTAAGTATTCTCCAATGTTGTGTGGAACACCATTTATTAAAATCAGTTCAAGATCAGAATACAATGAAAAAATACAGAGCACATAATAAAAATGAGTGAAATCTGACAATCATGCCATATTGCATCACAGCACCATGGGAGTGACAAAACATTTACAGGCAACTTTATCAAATCTCTAAGTAAATAAATATGTCTGTACCAGAGGCCTAAAACCCATAAGGGTTGGCATCTATCAAATCTGTGTATTCCACAGTCAGAGTGCCACTGTAGAGAGTGCCTCTTGCTGCATATCGCACCATCGGCCACTGTGGGCATCTCCACTTGGTTGCAAATATGGGGTGGTGTATAGGAGAGGAGACAATCTATAAAATACCTAAGTGCTACATATAGGACATCTCCACAGTGGCAGAACACTGATACAAAGTGAATATGGGGTGGAGGAAAGAATTTTGATTCAGTTGGCATTTAAAGGCAGCTCTATTGAATGAACATTTTTGAAGCAATATGCATACCAAAACACAGCTGTCCTTCAAAATTCACACTTTTGGAGTCTGCTGGGGAGAATGCTCTGTTACCACCTGTAGCTCTTCACAAAGGTCCTCCAGGTAGTGCCTGGGTGGAGGTGTTGTGAGTCTGGCTCTTAGCCTGTGACGTGAAGCCTGTGGCATCAAACCATGATCTGCAGAGAAATGAGCAAGTTACCTGCTGGTGATTATTTGCTGCTGTCACTACATCCCTTTCCCAGAAACATTAGACTTGCTGTGTGTGCAGTTTGGGGCTCTCAAAGGAGTACACTGGAGCTGTGTCAGAAGTGATGCTTTTATTGGGAGCTGGATGGACTTACTGGTCTGTTTGTTTGCCCTGGTTTTGCTGCCTTGCCCCTTCTTGGCAACCATTCTCAGCGTAGCAATGCCTGGAAGGAGCATGGAGGTTGGAACAGCACAGAGTGAGGTCCATGTGTCACAGAGGCCATTCTCTTGAGATCAACATTTCTGTGTAGCCTCAGCAAATGTGTGTGCAGCACCTTCCAAGCAGAGTTAGAGGGAGCTTTGTAGGCAATAGAAGCTGGTCCATGTGGGTAGATAGCCCCCCTGTCTGCCCTCAGCCAGACCTGACCTGCTTGCCTTTTTACCTACAACTAGGCCAGGGGGGCAGCACTGGTTGTGAGCTTCCTCTTCTTCCTCTGTCTCAGTGTAGCACCTTGTGGAACTTGGCAGGAAGGAAAGAGGTGGGTGACAAAAGTAGGAGGAGTTGGCTCTGGCGCCACCTGCTGCTGGGCTCCCTGCATTCTGCCCTAACAGTCCCAATAGGCACCAGCCACCACTGCTTGCTGGCCATGTAGTATTAGTAAATTTATCACTTGCCCTTTGCCAGCACGTCCCAGGATAGGTTACAACAATTTAAAATTAAAAACCTCCCCACTCCCTGAACAGTGCAAGAGATCCAGAGCAGCTCCAACAGATGGCTGTCCAGTGTGAGTCCAGCTGAAGCCTGGGACTGTTCCTGCAGTTTGCTGAGGAGCTGTTCATGAACAGTGTTCTTTGAGTACAGTTTTGCAAACAACTGTGAATCTGCCGAGCAGTATTGCTCCTCTGCCAAAGTGTGTCCATTTGTTCTGTGGTTTCTAGTCAGGGGTCCAAGAGACTGGGTTTTTTGTCCCACCGCTTTCCACAGGAAAACCAGCAGTTTACTGCTGAATCGGAAGAAATGTCAAATGGCAGTGTGGCTGGGGTGGGGGTGGGGAGAGGGTGTCCGTGCTGTTTGAAGGATGGTAAAGAGCCATGAGCCTGGAGAGAGAGCTTTGGAGGAGGGGCCCAACAATACTTAGCATGTAACAGCAGATAAGTTCACTGAGTCACTGTTCCCCACTGATGAGATTTAAATTATAGTAATTATTTCTAAATTTGCATCTAAGCATAGCAAATGCAACTTCTATGCAAATCTGTCCTCGTTCATCCTCTCTTTAGGTGATGCGTAAGTGGACACTCCGATGATGGTGGGCATATATGGATATTATTTTAATGTTTGCCACATTTGGCTGCCTGAGGCAAAGGACAAGATGGTGCCAAGACCCCAATTCTATGTAAAGGATCCAATTGGACCAGCAGCTGAATTCCACTACCAACACTGGTATTGGGATAACATCTTCCATCATACCTGAGAGCAAACAGGTTTAGGGGGCCCTGGGGAAATGACTGGGAGGCTTCTGGTGCTGCTCTTGCATTTGCTGCCCGAGGCAGCTGACTCCCACTGCCTAATGGTAGGACCACATCTGGGTGTTATCCTTACAATAATGTTTGGATGTGCGAGAGTGATTGGCTCCAAAAGTTGTTATTGATCACCATAGTGGAATGGAGATTTGAACTCCTGGGTCTTCTCCATTCAAGTCAAATGCTCTTTTTTGACTGGTTCACAGAGCAAGGACAGAAGAAGGTGGATTTAGTTGACAGAGTAACTGAATCTCTTTTCAGTGAGGCTCACACAGGACAATCCATCTTCCCGGGGAGTCAGGGCTGTTGTCAGCATCCAGCATCCTTGGGTGGTGGGCAGGGTTCTAGTGCTTGGGATCTGAGAGGCGTCCATTTTAATTGCCCACAATGCCCTGGACATCAGGGACATTTAGGGTAATTAAAATGGTGGGCAGCTGTCACCAACCTCCAGCACGGCTGCTGCCAGTACTTAAGTCCCCCTAAGGTATGGTTATCAGACTTCCCAGGGACAGTCCCCGGATTTACAAATCTGTCCCCAGACAAAATCCATCCCCGGAATGTCCCCGGATTTCATTTAATGTCCCCAGATTTATATTTTAAGTGTTGTAGATTTATTAGTAGGGAATGAATGTTGTGCGATTGCTTCAACGACACAAGACACATCATATGGGGACTTCCGGCGAGGCAAAATGGTGGGCGCCATGGCAGCGAGCAGCTCCTGAAGCCAGCCAGTGCCAACTCCACTACCAGGCTGGCTCTGGGCTGCTGAGATTGCCCTACCACTGCCAAGGGGGAACCGGGGATGCCCGGCGCATCAACTGGGGGGACCGCTGACCCCCTCCAATGACCCAAATCGAGCCAGGAGCAAGAGCGCCCGGCCACCCGGCCAACTGCCCAGTGGCACTCTGGGGCCAGGAAAGCCCCGGAGCCGATGAAGAGAGAAGGAGGAGAGGAGAAGGAGAAGGAAGAGAGAGAAAGAAGAAGGAGAAAAAAGAGGGGAGCTGCTGCTGCTGCTCAGGAGGAGAGATGGAAGGCCAAGGACATGTGGCCGAGCCCAGACCCAACCCGAGCCTACTCCACGGCGGCTAGCACTCCAAGAGAGCAGGCTGGGGCCCAGAGGAAGGCCGTGCAACAGAGGAGACCACAGAAGAGAAGATATTACTTCTCTTTTAAAAAACAACTTTCCCCCTCTTTTTTTTTTAAAAAAGTGTCCCCGGATTCTTTGGAAAAAATCTGGTAACCTTACCCGAAGGGGATTGCCAATGTAGAAGGGGACACCCCAGAGGACACTTGCTCAGGGTTCCCTCAAACCTAGAGCCAGCTCTGTGTGGCATGAATTCAAGGTGGGCTCCATCATTAGGCAGAGTGAAGCAGTCACTTCAGGCAGCAGATGGGGGGGGGGGAGAGAGACATGGTGGAGAACAGCTGTGTGCGCCATGAAGCCTGTCTGGCACATCCGAGAGCCTCCTGCCCAGAGTTTCAGTGGAAGACATTCAGCTGCCAACTTATGTGGAGATGCCATCTTGTCATACACCTCAGGCACGAAAACGGTCGTTGGGAAGGATGCCATTTTGAGTTTTCCTCTCTTCTTATTTTCAATTAATGTCTCCCCCCTCCCCCAAAGTTGGAATCTAGAGTGGGGGGAGGGGCAGGCGAACAGGAAGGGTTGCATACGCCCCCTTTCACTGCTACTGCTATTCCCCTCTCTTCTACCCTACCCAGAGGCAGATAAGTCCCATATTCCTCCCTATCAAAGACAGAAAAGGAGCTGAGGGGGGTAATTTGAAGCATTAAAAGCACCTGGTGGGGAAAAGGTTAACCAGCCCTCCCACAAATTGAGTAGTGGTAGTGATGAAAGGGAACATATAGAGAGGTACAGTGGTACCTCGGGTTAAGAACTTAATTCGTTCCGGAGGTCCGTTCTTAACCTGAAACTGTACTTAACCTGAGGTACCACTTCAGCTAATGGGGCCTCCTGCTGCCGCCAGAGCACAATTTCTGTTCTCATCCTGAAGCAAAGTTCTTAACTCGGGGTACTATTTCTGGGTTAGCGGAGTCTGTAACCTGAAACATATGTAACAGAGGTACCACTGTACATGCATGATGTACTTTGGCACTCATTCTGGCTAGTGAACTCCTCAGCCAGCAGAGGGCGCTCCTGGGCCATTCTTCCCAGCCCATCTTCACATAAACTTTTCTTTTAAAAACAAGTTATATCTGATATTTTACCACAGTCATAGGCCACATAGATTTGTGATGAGGATCTCCTGGGTTGCTTTTTTCCTTTTTAAATATGTTGGGATCCAGATGGGAGGGGTGGAGGCATTGTTAGGGTTGACTCACTGTCTTCTCCATCATTTCTTTTGAAGCTGTTCTTTGCTCCTTGAGGGTGAAATATAAGCAGAGTTTTAACTTGAAAAATGCACACCAAAGAACAAGGGATTCCTATTACGCCACAGGGCAGGGCCCAATACAGTTCTAGTATTTAACCTGACCTGAGAGTGAGTCCCATTGAACTCGGGGGGGGGGGTCTGGAGGCTGGCTTACCTCTGAGTAGACATGCGTAGGATTGCAGTGTTATCTCCAAGGGGCAAAGCAGAAGCTTACCTCTCCCAGTTCCATGAATAGAAACCAACTGGCCTGGCAGTGGCAGTGGCCCCACTAACCCGCCCCCTGCCCCGCTGTAGATTGCCCACAACAGAGCTCTCTGCAGGGGCTGGACTCCTGCCTAGAGTATGGCATTGCCATTTTGCGTACTGGGAGAGTAGTGTTGTCATGTCTCGCTGACTAGATTGGATAGGCCAGCCTTCCCCAACCTGATGCTCTGGACTACAGCTCCCATCATCTGCAGTTAGCATGGCCAGTAGCCGAAGGTA